AGGATCTGGCCGAACTCTGGATGCGCCCACTCCACCTTCCACACACTAGCCTGGTGCGCGTTCCACTCGTACTCGAGGCGCCAGTCCTGGCCGTGCTCCTCCCAGATTTTGATTTTGCGGTCCGAGCTGCACGTGGCCAATCGCTTCCCGTAGAAGTCGAAGCTCATGTCGTGCACAAAGTCCGAGTGCTGCGACGGGAACCGCCGGAAGATTTTCTGCAGTCATGAAGACACACGGGTTAGTGCTTTGCTAGGCGACAGAGGCGAGGAGAGCGAGCAGCTACCATGGCGTTCATCCGTCAGCGAGCATAAAAAAAAATGACTCTTAGACGGATTTTGAGGGACTGTCGAGGGATCGTACTTAATTGAATTAGTAATGGGGTACCTGGCTTTGATTAGCATGAATTGTTGAGATGCATCTACATGTATGTAGCCCTAGCTGGAAGTGCTCGACTGCCGCACCTCTTTGCTGCGCGCAGTTCATTAACAATCGTACGCCAGAGGAGCTGTCCACGACGGCGTTTCCTCCCCTTTGATGTCGTAGTTGAGTGCTGAACAGCGCTGCTGCATTCTTTGAACACTTCTTCTGCTTCGCAGATGGTCAATTTGCATACTTCAGTCACAACTCAGCAGCTCATTCTCGATGGATCTGTTCAAGTAGACAAAGTCACTCAGCCTCTTCTTGGCATTCTTACTGGCGAGCTGACAGGGTTCGACGAGCCGAAGTGGGGGGATATGCGTACAAGGTGAGCCACACTGCCAAAGCATCCACGCTTGATATATTGTGCACTCTGGAATAGTAAAAGACGAGGTTATGCTATTGAACCGCCCAGTCCACTGCCGCAAATTCACACGCTGCTCGCTGGATGATGAAGCTTGTTCGCCAGGTTGTTCAACATGTTGAAGACGATTAACCATCGCTGTTACTCCGGCTGCATCCAAACACCTCATGATCATGTCGTTTAGACCATTATAAGTGACAGTGCCAGCACCGATAGCCCTGCGCTCCAGTTCGTTAACTATATCTTGCACAATAGTCGTCCGTGTGGAATCCATTTTGTTTACTGCTTGTAAGATGCTCTGCTGTAAGGACGCCATGTTGGAGAGGATAGCAACATAAGGAGAGACGCCAATTGGTCTGAGCGTAGAGGTTGTAGCGTCCCTCCTTGTAGACGATCCGCCAGCTCAGTAAGCATTGTGTTCGTGGTAAACAGCGGGGTGTAGAACAGGCCGTGAGGCTGGAAGCGTTT